AGCTAACTCTACAATTACTCTCCTCTCCGGATTTTCCCTGCCTGACAGTCTCCCCTACAGACCTTGGATTTACCTAATCAGCTCCCACAATTTCCTATGCCAATTCCTTGTAATAAGTTCACATATATACACATACATCCACATGGATACATATAGGGGGCATATATAATCTACTGGTTCTGCTTCCCTCATTAAGCCCTGACTAATACAATGCATATCTTTTAAAAACAGCTTTAAGTAGGCATAATTTACATTTTCTAAAATTCACCATTTTAAAGTATACAATTCAATGATTTTTAAGGAAATTTATATAGTTGTGCAACTATTACCAAGATCCAGTTCTAAAGCATTTCCACCACTGCAAAAATTCCCTTGGGGTCATATCCAGTCACTCCCACTCCTATCTACAGCTCAGGCAACCACTGATTTGCTTTTGGTCTCTACAGATCTATAATTTCTGAAAATTTCATATAAATGGAATATATATTATGTCGTCTTTTGTCTGGCTTCTTTCAATTAATGATAATGTGTTTGAGGTTCAACCATGTGTAGTACATAACAGTTCATTCTTTTTTATTGCTGATAGTCTTCCATTACAAATATATCACATTTGTTTTATCCATTTGCCAGTTGATGTACAGTTAGATTGCCTCCAGTTTGGGACTATTACAAATAATCCTCCCATAAACATGTATGAGTCTTTGGATTAATATATATTTTCATTTCTCATTGATAGAAACCTACAGTGGAATTGCTGGGTTGAATATAAGTCTTGTGTTTGACCTTTTAAGAAACTGTCAAACCGTTTTCCAAAATAACTAAAAGATTTTACACTTACATTCCTACCAATAAAGATTTTCTCCTACATCTCCTAGTTTTGGATTTTACTTTTAGATCTATGATCCATTTAATTCCTATATGTGGTGAGAGGTATGGATCCAAGTTCACTTTTTGCATAATTATATAAAATAAATTATATATTATGTTATATATATTTGCATCTATATATAACTGTTCCAGTACCATTTATTGAAAAGGTGTTCTTTTCTCCACTGAATTGCCTTTGTGTCTTTGCTGAAAAAAGTCAATTGACCATTATGTAAAGGTTTATTTCTGTACACTCAACTCTATTCCATTAATCTGCATGTTTAACTTTATACAATCCACACTGTCTGGATTACTGTAGCTTTAGTGAGAATGCTATAGTTTTAAAATTGTGTAGTGTTAGTGCTCCAACTTTGTTCTTTTATAAAAAGAAGTAATTTTGATTATTGTAGGTCTTTTGCATTTCCATATAAATTTTAGGATCAGTTTAACAATTTCTGCAAAAGAGGTAACTGAGATTTTAATAAATCTTTTACTTTGAAGGAAAGGAAAAAATGTGACTATCTAAACGTGTTTAATTTGAAGATTAAAATCTTTCCTTAAAAGCACTATTTCTGAGTCCAAGAGTTAGAAATATTATTTATGACAGCAGATAATCTTAAAACCTTGATAATTTATAAGCACTTATGGATGTAACACCAAAATGTGATTCTTTAATACTACACAAAAAGTTTCATCTACTTAATAGAAATGTCGAAGGTGCTAAGAGAATTTATTAAGCTAATTTAGTATGCTAATACCATGTATTGTTCATTTCTAAATTGAAAATGGGATTACAGGGAAAATAATATATGCTTAAGAGTTCTTCATGGAGCAAAAGTGATAGATTTTATCTAGGTTCTTTGAATTTCTTCAAACTAATTTTTTGATTTCTGTTATATTAACATTAGTTACACTTTATTAAATGATATAGCTATATCATATTATAGATACTATGCTGGATAGCAATCTAACAGCATATATAATCATAAACTATAATGTAATCATTATAAACTACAGTGAATATATTAAAATATAAGAAACAAATAGCACTGCTGGTGAGAATGTAAACTAGAACAGCCAATATGGAAAACAGCACAGTTTCCTCAAATGTTAAAAACAGAACTTCTCGGTAAACACACAATGCAATATATATATGCCTTACTGTTGAATTATATACCTGAAACTTACTGGATTTCATTAACCAATGTCATCATAATAAAAAAATAATAATAATAATAAAAAGAAAAAAGAAATTTAACTTTTATAACTGTAAAAAAAAAAAAATAGAACTATCATATGATCCAGCAGTTGTACATTGGGGTATATATCCAAAGGAAATGAAACCATTATCTCAAAAAGATATCTGTACTCCCATGTTCACTGCAGCATTATTTATAATAGCCAAGACACGGAAGTAACGTAAGTGTAAGTATCCACTGATGGATAAAGACAATGCAAAACATATATAGATATATAGAGATATAATAAAATATTATTCAGACATAAAAAAGGAAATCTCGCCATTTATGACAACATGGATGGGCCTTGAGGGCATTATGCTAAGAGAAATAAGTCAGACAAAAACAAATACTGTATGATCTCACATGTGGAATCTAAAAAAAACCGAATTCATAGATACAGATAACAGATTGGTGGGTATCAGAGGCAGAAGGTGGGACGGTTAAGGGGTTGAAGGAAATGAGTGAAGGTGGTCAAAAAGTAAAAACTTCCAGTTATCAGATAAATTATTTCCAGGATATAATGTATAACATGGCAGCAATAGTTAATAATACTATATATATATTTAAAAGTTGCTGAGAGTAGATCTTAATGTTCTAATCACAAGAAAAACATTTGTAAATATGTGAGGCAATGGATGTTAACTAAGCTTATTGTGGTAATCATATGGCAATATATACATATATGAAATCATTATGTTGTATACCTTGGACTAATACAATGTTATATGTCAACTGTATCTCAATAAAATGAATTTTTTTATTTTAAAAATACAAATAAATAGAAGAGAATGGTCTCTTAAATAAAAAGCAAATGGAAATATTAAATTTTGAATATTATAAGATTACTCTGAAGTGATATCACCAGGGACTACTCAAAATTTGTGCTATCACTCAAAACTACAGTATCATATTGACCTTAAAGAGAGGTATGTTAATAATTTATGCTGTTAACTGACAATGTTATTAACCAAAGTGAAAGTAACCACAAGAAACTAGTCTTCACACGATAATCTTCGCAGCCATATGTTTAAGGAAAAAGAATAACTCCATCAAACCTAACTTTTGATTAGTGAAAAGTTAGCTTGTGTTTCTTGATATAGATGGAGAATGGATGAATAAAATGATTTCTATCAGCTGCTTCTCCTTTTGGTATCAGAAAAAGCATAGTATTGGTTCAGTCTTCCAATCTCAATTTTTAATTATATAATTATAATGTATATAATTTATGTAATTATGCTATAATTTAGCCTCATAAAAATGTAGCTTCAAACAAACTATTATGTATTATTTTGAGTTCAAATTAAACTTTCTATGGGAAGATGTGGCATTTTCAGAACACTTTCACTCAGACACTTGCTCTTGAAAGAATTGACAAAAGATAGTAAAATGAGGAAGATGCTGAACCATGGGTATATTACATTCCTATTTTGTGTAAAAAAGTAGGAGTAAGAGCATATATTCATAATTGTTTATGTATAGGAGTCGAGGGCGGACGTATTTCTTTCACAATGGGTATGTTTTACTCTCTCAAAAAATATCAAAATAAACAACTAAAAGAAAGAAGTATGACACTTTAAGGCATCTATCTCAAAACCATGATTAAGAGCCTGCTACAGGGTTAGATTAGATCAGTTTGCTTGAAGGAAAGTCACTTTTTCTAATAGGACTTTTGTTTACATAGTCTGATTTAAGATTGAGTTCTGCAAAGTCACAGAAAGGAAAATTGGGGGGATAAGAAAAATGCCATTTTAAAATTCATACTGCTGAATGTGGGTACTATGGAGTACTGAGATTTATTTTTGTCTTTCCTTAGGTCATTTAGTTGATATGACTTTTATCCCCATACTGTAAGCCGTGGAGGATATATACATACATATATGTATATATATCATCGGCATCCAGTCACCTGTCAAATGCTTGCTGGGTAGGGACAGGGAGGGCAGGAATAGAAATTTCATATGACTGCAAAATTCACCCTCCTTTTAGAACACAGTTAAAAAAGCTTATTTTCCTCATCGTAAGCCAAGGGAAAAGGTATGGCTTATTATTAAATACCCACTATAGTTATAGACTATGGTAAAGTGTATACAAACAGATCCTTTGTCAAGAAGAGACTTTTCAATTTGTTCTTTGAACTTTCAAGGTTTTTCTTCAGTAATTACAGAATATTAAATTATATTAAACATAATGTTTCTTGAAATAATTTCTTCATTTGACTTTCGATGAAACTACACTTATTTCTTCCTACTCGCTGGCTATTCTCAGTCTCTTGTCATTCATTCAGCAATGCTGTGTGACCTGGAACAAGTAACTTAATCTCTTGGGCCTCACATCAGTAAAGGACGTTTTTGACAGTCATCGCTCACTAAACAGGAGTTACTGTATATTGCCCGTTGTTATTAACTACCACAAAAGCTCAGCTCCGCACGTCGGCGCTTGCTCCGCCTGAGGCGAACCCACCACACCTCGGAAAAGGGCTAGCAGCGTCGGGAATGCTGTGGACAGGAGTTGAGAAACGTTTTCCACTCCCGAAGCCAGGCTGGCAATACAGGTAGAGTTACCGACGCTCTCGTGCAGCTCAGCCCCAAACACTGCGAGAACGGTGCAGGAAGTTACAGCCCCAGCAAGGCACCCGCCTCCTCCAGGGAAGCGGAACCCGTGACACCACCCAGCCACTTCCGGCTTGGCGCACCTTCCCTTTTATCCTCTAACTGCACTTTCGATAACGACATGCAGCCTAATAGTTCCCTCAGGCAGCTCTATATTTTCTTAATTTTCCCCTCTTTATGACTCCCGTTGAAGACGAAAATTAAGATGGGAGCTACTAGAAACAGACGTGGCTATGGAAAAAAGGAGCAGCTGCGCGGACTTGGCGAAAGTGCATGGCGGGAGCACCTGCACCCTCTCCTCGCGGGCCGGAAGTTTAGGGACTGAATGGGTCCCGGAGCCGGCGGCTGCTGCTCCTCTGTTTCCACCTGAGACTTAGCGGCAATTCGGCCGCCTGTCTTGTCAGCCGCTGGGGCACCAGGTTCATGTGGAGGCTCCCAGGCGCCCGTGCCGCGCTTCGTGGGGTCCGCGCGGCCGTCGAGCGGCACAGTCGGGCTGAGGCTACGACTGAGACCGTGGCGGGCGCGATGGAGCGTGCTGTAGTGCGATGTGTGCCCTCGGAGCCTAAACTAAGCCTGTCGTTCGCGCTGGCGGACGGCAGCCATAAGAACATGCAGCGTGACCAGAGCGAGCCGCTGGGTCGGGCCCTCAGCCGGATCGCCACCAACGCCCTCAAAGGCCACGCTAAGGCGGCTGCCGCCAAGAAGAGCCGGAAGAACCGGCCAAACGTGGCCTGTGCGGGGCCCGGGCCGGAGCCGGCTGCGGCCTGCGAGCCCGTGGTGAAGCTGTACTACCGGGAGGAAGCAGTGGCTGAAGACGTGCTCAATGTAGACGCGTGGCAGGACGGCGCGGTCTTGCAGATCGGCGATGTCAAGTACAAAGTGGAGCGCAACCCGCCCGCCTTCACTGAGCTGCAGTTGCCACGCTACATCATGGCCGGCTTTCCGGTGTGCCCCAAACTCAGCCTCGAATTTGGGGATCCCTCCGGCTCCCTGTTCCGCTGGTACAAGGAAGCCAAACCGGGATCGGCACAGCCTGATGGCGGGGGCCCCTCGTCATTGTCTCGCTCTTCTCCCTCTCCTAGTTGGACGGAAACGGGTGTGGACGAGCGCGTCTACACCCCGTCCAATGCTGACATCGGGCTACGGCTCAAGCTGCATTGCACCCCAGGCAATGGGCAGCGCTTTGGGCCCAGTCGGGAGTTGGAAAGTGTGTGTCTAGTGGAGGCCGGGCCGGGCACTTGCACCTTTGATCACCGACATCTCTACACCAAGAAAGTGACGGAAGATGCTCTCATCCGCACCGTCTCCTACAACATACTGGCTGACACGTACGCCCAAACTGAGTTCTCGCGGACCATCCTGTACCCTTACTGTGCCCCTTACGCCCTGGAGCTCGACTACCGCCAAAATCTTATACAGAAAGAACTCACCGGCTACAACGCCGACCTCATCTGTTTGCAGGAGGTTGACCGCAACGTGTTTACAGACAGCTTGGTGCCGGCCCTTGAGGCCTTTGGGCTGGAGGGCGTGTTTCGAATCAAGCAGCAGGAAGGCCTGGCCACTTTTTACCGAAAGTCCAAGTTCAGCCTTCTTAGCCAGCATGATATTTCTTTCCATGAAGCTCTGGAGTCTGACCCACTTCACAAAGAACTGCTGGAGAAAGTAGTTTTGTACCCATCGGCGCAGGAGAGGGTGTTCCAGAGATCTTCTGTCCTTCAGGTAAAGTAATTCCGCCACGCCAGTCTCTTTACACATTCGTCCATTTTTTTAGGGCCCTGGAAAGGGATGGTGGTAGAGCTGCTTATAATTGAGATGAAACAACAATACAGATTTTACTGCAAGGTTTGCTCTTGTATCTTCAGCACAAAGGTTAGCTTTCATTCATTGGGTAGATACTGATTGAGCACGCTGCAGGTTGCCTTGAACAAGACAAATAGAGTCTTTTATCAGTGCTTACAATCTAGTGGGAGACACATGCTAAAAACAAGAATGATAGTAATAGCTAATATTTTCTTATTACTCGCCAAGCACTGTTCTAACGCATTCTAAAGTACTTAAAATTTAAGTGACATGCTCCATAAATTTTAGCTATTTTAATTTTGGGCTTATAGTAATCTTGCTATTCCCATTATTTAGATGTTATTCTTCCCATTTTATAAATGAGGAAGTGGTCAAGTTTATTTATCCAAGTTCACACAAGTGTGGAGCCAAGATTCTTACAGTTAGTTATATATTCCATTATCACTGGGCAGGGTATTAACTGCTACTTAGCCTAAGCTGTCTTAAGCTATCTTAATTTTTCATGACATGTTCATTTTGTGTTTGTTCAGAGTTTTAGGTAATTGATTTTGTTCACAGTAAGAAGAGTAGCTACCATTTTGAGCACCTATTGTGTTTCATGCACCTTCATGTAAGCTCATTTAATTGAAACCACACCATAGTCCCCCTTGCGGGGTTGGGGGGGAGGAGATTATAATTATTCTTTTTTATCAATGACAAAGTTGGTTTAGAAAAAAAGTGTCTCTCTTCAGGTCACAGTGCTGTAAATGGTAGAGTGGGTATTCAAACCTAAGTCTGCCTCACTCCAAAGCCTGTGCTTATCCACTTAAAAACACTATCTCCAATCTTAGTGTTATTATCTAAAATGTATTCTTTTTATACCACCTGTATATGTTGGACTATTATTAAACATGTTTCAGTGAGTCCTATTCACATATACATGAATAGTCCCCCTTAGTGGTTTCATGGATTTCCCTGGTTTCAGTTACCTGTGCTCAGAAAATACTTAATGAAAATTTTCAGAAATAAGCAATGCATACATTTTAAATTGCCTGCTGTTTTGAGTAGCATGAATGGAACCTTGAGCCTTGCTCTGTCCAGCTCTGTACGTGAACCACTCCTTTGTCCATCTTACCCATTCAAGTTACCCTAACTGTCCTATTAGTCACTTGGTAGCTGTCTTGGGCATCAGATGAACTGTCACGGTATCGCAGTGCTTGTATTCAAGTAACCCTTAGAACCTGATGCTGTGTCATAATGCCTATGTCTTTGACTCACTTCATTTCATTACGTAGGCATTGTATCATCTCATATCACAAGAAGGGTGAATACAGTACAATAAGATTTTGAGAGACCACATTCACATAATTTTTATTATATTTTACATATTGTTATAATCTGTTTTATTGCTAATCTCTTACTGTGCCTAATTTGTAAATTAAACTTTATCATAGAAAAAGCATAGTATATATAGGGTTTGGTACTGTCTGCAGTTTCAGGCATCCACTGGAGGTCTTGGAACATATCCCCAATGGATAAGGGGGCACTACTGTATTTGAAAACTCTTGATAATTAAAGTTAAATTTAATAATTGTGATATTTCATTAGTATGAGAAGGATATAGAGTAAAATGTTAGTTCATCATATAGTCTTAGATAAAAAAATATTCAGAAGATTGACAGATAGCAACTGAAGTCTTGGCACTTTCTGTTCGTTTTAGGTTTCTGTTCTTCAGTCTACAAAGGACTCTTCTAAAAAGATATGTGTTGCTAATACTCATCTCTACTGGCATCCCAAAGGTAGGTTTTACTGATTTTCATAAGTGACTTAAACATTGGTAACTCAAGGTCAGTAAAGCTGTTTTACAAAAATATATTTTTTTCTTTAAGTTTTATTGACATATAATTGACATATAGCACTATATAAGTTTAAGGTATATAACATAACATGACTTGACTTACATATATTGTGAAACAATTACCACAACAAGCTTAGTTAACATCCAATACCTCATATAGATACAAAAAGATTTTTCTTTCTTGTGATGAGAACTTTCAGAATTTACCCTCTTAGCAACTTTCTAATATACCATACAGGTGTGTTAACTGTGGTCATCATGTATGTTACGTCCCTAGGACTTATAACTGGAAGCTTTATATCTTTTGGTCACCTTCATCCAATCTCCCACCACACACACACAAATATATATCTTGCATGTTACCTAGATACTGAAGTTTGTGCATTATTTTTTTTAACTTAAAGGCAATTTGAAAAAGTACTTACATTCATGTTTTTTTATATTTATAGGTGGATACATTCGTCTCATTCAAATGGCAGTAGCCCTGACTCACATTAGACATATCTCATGTGATCTGTATCCTGGCATACCAGTTATATTTTGTGGGGACTTTAATAGTACCCCATCAACAGGAATGTATCATTTTGTCATCAATGGCAACATTCCAGAGGATCATGAAGACTGGGCTTCCAATGGGGAAGAGGAACGATGCAACATGTCTCTTACCCATTTCTTGAAACTGAAAAGTGCTTGTGGTGAACCTGCTTACACAAATTATGTTGGTGGCTTTCATGGATGTCTGGATTACATTTTCATTGACTTAAATGCTTTAGAGGTTGAACAGGTGATTCCATTACCTAGTCATGAAGAAGTTACCACCCACCAGGCCTTACCTAGTGTTTCCCATCCCTCTGATCACATAGCACTTGTATGTGATTTAAAATGGAAATAGAGTTTTCTTTAATGGAATTTAAGTCTGCTTTAGTAGGAGATTTAACACAAAGTTTATGTGTAACCTTCAAAGAGGAAAACGAGACACTAAGGTACAGTGTTCTTATGCTACTAGTTATGTTCCAGTGTCTTCATTACATGACTGTTCATAATCTTTGCATAATATAGTTTCCCTACCCTTTTTTGTCTTACACTTGGAGGAAAAACAGACATATTTATGACTGGCAGGAAGAACATTGAATTATTGTGTACATTTGATAAGTACTTTTTTTTAGCTAGTAATTACGAGTTTTGTAAAAAACCATTTGAATGATGCTATAATTTTTCTGTCATAACATATGTCAGATGGAATCATGTTTATATAATTATAGAAAAAATGCATTCAAGTTAAGGTGAGAGGCCTAAGTTCTGACACATGGAAGAAATAACATTAAGGTCTACCTCTACCTCAGTTTGGTTAGCAATTTAATACAATTTCAGAGCTTTAACAGAAGATTAAAATATACCATCATCAATTGTTATTGCTTCTCATCTTTCATTTTTGAATTAACATATTTTCATTCTCTTATTTTTAGTGTTTTAGTTTTTAATGTATGGTACAAATGGACATATTTATATTCTCTTTCTTAAGATGCAAGCACAATTTAGTATTCAAAGTGAAGAGCAACAAAGTCAACCCTATCCCATTGTCTTTAATAACTCTTGCTCATGAAAAATGTTCATAAATCAACAGGGTATTTGACCATGTGATATTAAAGAATACAGCACAATACATTACTTTGTGAGAAATTGCCTACTGATGTGGGCTTTAAATTTTGGATGAACTATTGAGCATTTCTATGCTAGAATATTTTGAAATTGTTGGTTTTTACAAATAGGAGAAAGGAGTAGGGCGGCTTTTGAGCACCTAAAACTATTCCTTTTATAGATTTGAACATTATAGTTTGAGTTACAGGGGAACATTGTATATATAATTTATATACTGTAAAAAATTAATATAAAGCCAAACTTTTTAAAATTAGAAATTACAGTTTTACTGATTACTGTCTAGCCTAGAGTGGTAATCGAGCATTTCTCAGTCAGTTATTACCATAACTAATTTGTAAAATGCTTTAGCTGTTTGCTTTTTTGATGTTCAGGATAACTGTTATCTCATTTCTGCATTTAATTTCTAGCTTATAGATATTAAAAGCCCACCAACTTCAAGAGCTGATTTTCCAGTCATGAGAGCTTTTGTTCCAAATTATTTCATCTCTAAACCCAACAGCATAAGAATGTTCCCCTTTTGGTAAAGTAGCCTGTACTTTCATACCCTGCTCACTATCCAATCAATATATTGTTAACTTTTAGTTTAGTAAGCTTGAGAATGTCAGAGGGTTTTACCTGCACTTCACATTGAACTTTGAAGTACTTAAAAGTACTTGAAGGGAAAAATTAAGGTGGCAGTTTCTTGGAATCTTGTTTAGAAAAAGCTATAAATGAAAAATTGATGCTACCAAATTGTGCTTTCGTAAATAACATTTCTGAGAGCATTTTAACATAAGTTTACAAATACATAAATAATATATTAAAGGCAGAATCTGTTTTGCAAAATGTGCTCTTCTTTTAAAACTTGGTTTTGGTCTGCTTTAAAACAAACATGTTGACAGAACTCTTAAAATAACTTGAGAGAAAACAGCTTCAAAGCAAAAAGTTGAAAAACAAAAGAAAAATGGTAACATGACATACTCATGCCCATGAGAAAAATATATAAGTCCTATGTTAATAACATGGCTAGCTAAATTGAACTCTGTTCAGAAAACTTTAAGCACTTATCAAACATTCCACATCCAGAATCTTTAAATTTGATATTTGCTGACGAAACAATGTGATCAGATCGTATATAGGCATTTCAGAATATTAAAATATAGAATATTATGAAGTGCCATATACTCTGGTTAAATCTTAAGTATACAGATGTTAGTATATAGGAGTCCAAAGGTAGGGAACACTAAGGAAACAATAAATAGCATACAAAAATTTCCTTGTATTCACGAGTTAGAATAAAGCATTATTCAGAAACGTTTAAGTGTTTAAAGCCATCTTTGTGACTGAATTTTTCAATTACATTTGGATTTTTAGTACATTTAATTTTAATGTGAAAAGTCCTATGGTAAACCACATTTTATGTCACAAATTCTTGCTGTAGGAATTAACGTTCCAAAATTCTATAATGATTATAAATGACTAAGAATATTATAAAACATTATCCTGTTCTATGAACTCTTGCACAGTTGCCACTGTAGACATATACACTAGTTCATAATTTATTAACAGATCATTTCAGGCTGTAATGTTCTTTAAAATTCTGAATACTAAAATCGGTTGTTCCAAAATTCCAAGAATTTCACTGAGTGATAACTTTTCTGAGAGGCCAAGGCCTGATATAATGTGATAGTATTGGTCTGGAGGTAGTCCTCTGAGGAACATAATAGAGGGAGAGGGGGTCCAAAGAACACTACTGTGGTAAGATCTCTCTGGTGGAAACTGACAGCTATAGGCCGCCTATTCTCCAGCTATGAAAAACAAGAGGTTCTCTTCAAAATGGTTTGAGACAAAACCAAAATCCAAATTAATGAGAGGTAATAGTTTGCTCTGCTAGTTTATCACAAGATTCACATGACAATTCAATAAGGAAAATCTTTCAAAAATTATAGTCAACACTAATTTTCTGAACATTTAAATGTCTTGAAATTTTTAATATTTTGTTAATATAGTACTAGAAGGAAATGTTATCTAGATTTAATTTTGGGAGAGGAAACACCTTTAAGAGCTTTAACTGATGTGGGTAATATCCCACTTCTGTGGTCCCACTTAATGAGAAAGTCCATGCTTTAACTTATTGAATGTATTAGTTGTATTAATTTGGGTGATTTTTACAGCACTAACTTTAGAATAACTACATTCTGAGATGGCAATACCAAAGCATTTTTTAAATTGAAATTCACATAAAACCATTTATAAGTGTAATTCCATTGCATTTAGTACATTCACAATGTGGAGCAACCATCATCTCTAGTTTCAAAACATTTTCATCACCCGAAAAGGAAAACCCCTTACCCATTAAGCAGTCTTTTCCTATTCCCTCCTCCCCTCCAACTCCCAGGCAACTACTAATCTGCTTTCTGCCTCAATGGATTTCCCAATTATGGATATTTCATATAAATGGAATTATATGTGATCTTTTATGTCTGACTTCTTTCACTTAGCACAATGTTTTTAAAAGGTTTATCCATGTATATGTACTTCACTCCTTTGTATGGGTGAATAATAGTCTATTGTATGGTTATACCACATTTTAATTATACAAATGGACATTTGGGTTGTTCCCACCTTTTGACTATTATGAATAATGCTGCTATGAACATTTGTGTACAAGTTTTGTTTGAACACCTGTTTTCAATTCTTTTGGTTATATACCTAAGAGTGGATTGCTAGGCCATATGGTAATTGACTTTTTGAGAAACTGCCAAAATGTTACCACAAAAGTGGCCACATCGTTTTACATTCCCACCAGCAAGTTATGAGAGTTTCAATTTCTCCACATCCTCGCCAACTTATTTTACATTTTTTTATTTTAGGCATCAAAGTAGATATGAAGTGGAATCTCTACCAATGAATTTTAAAACTCGTTTAGTCTAAGCAATCATGTTGTTGCAGTCATGAACTAAATTATTCACAATGGATTATACAACCTATATATTTTCCAGAGAGCTCTTCTTCAGCAATTCCTACTTATTTTTACAAGCTCATTGCTTCTTTTTAATAGATTTGGGAAGAACGTTACAAAAATACCAAAGTCTGGAGTATAAATACAAATAATTAAAAACTTAGTATAACAAAAAAATAAAAGTCACTTTAAAAATATGAGTCCATTTCAGTGATTTCAGGGAATGAATTTGCTTACCAACGTTGGCTTCTAAATGGTTTAGCCATGTTACACTGTTACCACTTCCTAAATCCCAGTTTAGGTACACAGTAGTAGAGAGCAAGAATGTCTAAATACTAATTCCTAAGAAACAGATAGCTGTGGCTGAATGTACCTTACCAAATTCTAATGCATAATCATAAAAAAGACTAAACTACTTATTAAAAATCTTGTCTTGAAAATAACCTTAAATCCAAGGTAAGCTTAAAAAAAATCCATTAAGCTAATGATGTTAAAAATTATAATATGGAAAAAATATTTTTGCAAGTTGGCCATCTTCATAGTGTATTAAATTATATTGAAGCCAGGTGCTAAAATTAACATTTTATATATAAATGATCATCTTTAAATTGTAGACCTTCAAAATACTAAACCTTTTAGTTCAGTTGGCTGATGTCACCCTAAATATAACTAGCAACAACAGCTGGATTCATTCTAACTCTTAGCTTGTCAAAATCATGTTCATATTGTTAGGGTTTTTTACTCACAATTTTCAATTTTCTTCAGAAACTTCACTGAAAACAAACTGAATCACTTCCCATCTTCTCCATTTTGCACTGATTATGTCAAAGTGTTTATATAATGCAATCCATTTTGCCCAGTAACTCCACTTTAATGTTATCCTAGAGTTGCCGATGTACATCTTAACTGTATTAAAGTATTCCTAGTTTGCATTTTTACTGATTTCATCTCATTTGTGCTCTAAAATTGCAAATGGTTCAGTAAGGAACTGGTTGGACTTTATTTAGTTGGCTTTCTTATATTGGATGAACAATATACACTTTTCAAAGTATTGCATATCTTTTTTTTCCCTGTGGAGTAGTGTGAAGAAACATTTATCCAGGATACAATTATTTAGAAATACATTTATCCAGGATACAATTATTTAGAAATAAAGCTGGCCCTTCTTCAGAAAAGCTGAGTTAAGGATAGTGTTTTGGATAGCAAACCAAAGATTATTTCTGAAGCTGTAGAATTTTTAATTATTATAAATAATGTAATTACATTACTCCCCTCATGTTTATTACATACCTAAAAACATCCTGTATCCTGGCTTGTGTCCTTTTTCTTCTCCTAAATGGAAGAATCCCATGATGCTTTGGTTTTTCAATCTAAAAATTGATTTTTCCTCTTAAAGGTTCTTTGTCACTGCATCTCAATTGAATTGACAAGGTCTGGCCCCACAAAGAAACCCCATACTCATTAACAGTTACTCCCATTTCTCCTTCCCCTCAGCTCCTGGCAACCATTTACCTACTTTTTGTCTTATACATTTGCCTACTCTGGACATTTCATATAAATGGAATTATACAATTGTATAGTCTTTTTAAAGTGGCTCCTTTCACTTAGTGTGTTTTTAAGGTTCTTCCATGTTGTAGTTTGTATCAGTACTTCATTCTTTTTTATGATGAATAATATTCCATTGTATGGACATACCACATTTTATTTATCCATTGGTAGGTAGGCATTTGGATTGCTTCCACTTTTTGGCTCCTCTGAATAACGCTGTATATTTGCATACATGTTGAGTGGACATGTTTTCATTTCTCTTGGGCATATATTTAAAAGTAGAATTGCTGAACCATATAGAAAATGTTTAACCTTTTGAAGAACTGCCACACTGTTATCCTGAATAGTTGCACCATTTTTCATTCCCACCAGCAATCTTGAGGCTTCCAATTTCTCTACATCACCAATACTTATCATCTTTTTGATAACATCTATTCCTAGTGTGAAGTGGCACCTCACTGTGGTTTTGATTTGCATTTCCTTGATGGCTAATGATGTTCAGCATCTTTTTATGTGCTTATTGGCCATTTGTGTATCTTTGGAGCCCATTTTAAAAACTGAGTTGTCTTTGTTGAGCACCGCCCCCCTTCTGTTTTAAATAATCACCCCTCACCTCTTCGGGGCTATCCAAGAGGCAAATCTTACTCAATCTAAGCTTAATGCACCCTTAATTAGTTGAATGGCACTCAACCCAGCCTGGAAAAAAATCTACTGCCACCAAAGTACTAGTCAGTTCCTGAAACAGCTCCCTGCCTGCAGATGGCAGTGTTAAGCCCCACAACACCAACTGAGTACTTGGATGCCCAAAATAATTTAAAAGCATAGAAACATTCCTAAAAACATGGTGGAATGAGAGACATCCCCAGATCTTTCTTCTTGAAACAACAATAAGCTGAACATCTAACACTCAACAAAAAACACCCAAACTGCATACCAGCACCTCTGAGTGTGAGATCTGTGTATAAGAGCTACCACAGGTCAGAACCCTGGATGTTGGGTGGTGGACTGGGAGAAACAAAGAAGCTGCCTCTCGCAGCTGGAGCTCCCTGCATGAGGAGGAGTAGGGGAGAAGGTGCAGCGGGTTCGCTGAATAGCCCTGCCTGGGAGAGCTTTGAGCTCCATGCAGCCCATGGCAGGGCTCGGGGCTCAGGGCAAAAAGCAGAGAAATGGAGATGGCAGAGAAGCGGGAATGGCATTGAAACAACAGTTGATTGTTACCAGTCATGCCTGCATAAAGTGAGGCTGAGCCCAGAGGGCTCCTTGCCCCATATCTTCTGGAACAAACACCGTGGAGCCCAAGGGGAATCTGAGCAAATGCTACTGAAACTGTCGCTAACATTGAAAAGGACTGAGACTGAGGGTAGCGAGCGTGAATGAATATAAGAGAAAAAAAAGCATTATTAAGGCTTTATATAAAGCAAAGATCCGAGAGGCTTAGACGCCACTCACTGGAAATCAAAAGAAAAACAACTTTTTTGCAACAGGCTAGAGACTTTTATATAATAAATCTTCTTTCTGGGAAAAAAAAATACTTTCATTAATGCCCAGGCAGAGAAATAGTCCCTTAAACACCATTAATAACCAAGGTGACAAAAAGAAAGAAAGAAAGAGAAAAATCTCCAGAAAATAAGCTTAAAAACACAGAAATATGCGACTTAAATGACAGAGAATTCAGGATGGTACTTCTGAAAAAACTCAATGAGATCCAAAACAATTCATATCAACAATTTCAGGAACTGAAAAAACAACTAGATGAGCAGTTGTTCCTTTGGCAAGGAGATTAAAACCCTCAAAAAGAACCAAATAGAACTTCTGGAGATGAAGAACACACTTCAAGAGATGAAAAATGAAATATCAAGGTCGGGAAATAGAGTCAACAAAATGGAGGAAAGGATAAATGATATTGAAGACAGAAATCTAGAAATAAATCAGAAGGAGGAAGAGAGAAATCTAAAAATGAAAATAATGAAAGAGAAATACAAGAACTAGCTGATACCATCAGGAGAGGAAACATAATAAGAATGGGCATTCTCGAAGGGGAGGAAAAAGCAGGGATTAGAAAGCATTTTCAGACAAATAGTTGACGAGAATTTCCCAAATCTAAGGAATGAATTGGAGCTTGTAATTCAAGAAGTCAAAAGAACACCCAATTATCTCAACCCCAAAAGACACATTATATTAAAATTATCAAAAATCAATGACAAAGAATTCTCAGGGCAGCCAAGGAAAAGAAGACAGTAACCTATAAAGAAAAACCACCTAAGAATACTACACCACTAAAGAAACTACACCACCTAAGAATAATGTATCCAACAAAATTCTTCTTTAGATATGAATGAGGAATAAAGACCTTTACAGACATAGAAAAATTGAGGGAATTCTCCACTACAAGGCCTGTATTACAGGAAATACTGAAAGGGGTCAGCTCGCCTAAAACAAAATGACCAAAAAAAAAAAAAAAAAACACAACTAGGAGTAAGGCAACTAGCAGGCATGTAGAAGCAGAGGAGTGCAACTCTAAGAACAGGGCATTATAAGCTTAAACAATAAGAGATTTGCTATAGCAAGATAGTAATGAATGTTCAGCATACATAGGGACAAATTGAGACAACAATGACAGAAAAAGGGAGGATTCAAAGACCCAAATTCACAAAAGGGAATGGAGATAAGGCACATGCAGAAGAAAATGGACTGCTATATATACATAACTATCCTCTACTTGTTTGTAATGGTAACTACACACCAAAGATTTAGAACTGAGATATATAACATAAAACCAGAAGGACCAGAGGGAAAACCCACAAAACCCAACCCCCCCCAAAAAAACCCACATAAAACATACACAAAGACAAGGAAGCAATGGAAACACCGAGCTACCAGAAAGCAAAAGATAAACAAATAAAGCCTAAAATCACAGAATAAAAGAAATAATCCAAATTAGAGTAGAATTAAATGAAATTGAAAATGAAAAAAAAAAAAATAGAAAAAAATGAGTGCAACAGAGAGCTGGTTCTTTGAGAAGGTTAATAAAATTGACAAACCCCTGGCAAGACTCACTAAAGAAAAAAGAGAAAGGACACAAATAAACAAAATTAGGGGTGAAAGAGGAGCAATTACAACAGACACCACAGAAATAGAAAGGATTACACAAGAATAATACTATGAAAAAGTATATAATATCAAATATAATAACTTAGAAGAAGTGGGCCAGTACTTAGAAAGATATAACCTTCCTAGACAGACTCAGAACTGAAAAATCTAAATAGACTGATCAGCAGTATAGAAATTGAAATAATCATTAAAAACCTACCAAAAAGTAAAGTCCAAGACCAGATGGCTTTACCAGTGAATTCTACCTAACATTCAAAGAAGATTTAATACCTACTCTCCTCAAACTCTTTCAAAAAATCGAAGAAGAGGCCATACTTCCCAGCTCATTTTATGAAGCCAATATTACCCTGATACCAAAACCTGGTAAAGATAACAGAAAAAGAGAAAACTACAACCTCTCATGAATCCAGATGCAAAAATACTAAATAAGATACTAGTGAATCGAATACAGCAACGTATTAAAAAAATTATACACCATGATCAAGTGGACTTCATACCAGAGGCACAGGGATGGTTCAACATATGCAAATCAATTAATGTGATGCACCACATAAACAAATTAAAAAATAAGAATCATACAATCATATCAATAGACGCAGAAAAAGCCTTCAAGATTCAGCATCCAGCTTTGATCAAAACACTTAACAAAATTGGTATAGAAGGAAAGTACTTTAACATAATAAAGGCTATATATAACAAACCCTCAGCCAACATTATACTTAATAGTGAAAAACTAAAAACCTTCCCTCTAAGATCAGGAACAAGGCAAGGCTGTCCACTATCGCCGCTGTTATTCAGTATAACATTGGAGGTCCTAGTGAGTGCAATCAGGCAAGAGAAAGATATAAAAAGCATCCAAACAGGAAATAAAGAAGTCAAACTGTCACTATTTGCAGATGACATGATTCTCTATATAGAAAACCCTAAAGACTCCACAAGAACACTACTAGAAACAATAAGCAAACACAGTAAAGTTTCTGGATACAAAATCAACATTCAAAAATCCATAGCGTTCCTACACTCTAATAATGAAGCGTCAGAAAAAGAAGTGGAAAAAATATTTTTTTTTGCAATTGCAACAAAAAGAATAAAATACATAGGAATAAATTTAATGAAACATGTGAAGGACCTATATAATGAAAACTACAAGAC